TTCTACAGAAGACGGAAGAGGCGGCAGCAAGGGAGGCCATATGAGTATCCACATGAACCTAAAAGTGAGCTTCCTTTTTTTGTTGTTCGAAAATTGAAATCTGAAAACTCGAATTTTCTTTTGGTTGGAAGCTTTTGTTTATGTGAAGTTTGAAGTTTTGGTTTATTGAGTTTTGATATTAATTATATAGTGAATGTGGGTGCACTGCTTAAGTTTGCACATTGGAATTGAGTGAGTTGAATTTGCAATTTTTGAATTTGGTGATGGATTTCTTGAATTATTTCCTCTTGAGTTCATTCATTGGGTTTCATGGCATGGAAATCTCTATAGACATCTGGTCCTTGCCCCTAATTAATTTGTGCAATTTATGCCCTTTAATTTCTCCAGATGATCAGTTTAGTGGCCAACCTCAGCATTTGCAACAGAATTATACTCCTCCACTGGCAGACAAAGTAGAAATATATTCAAAGCCTACTCATTTTCCAGCACCATCTTCAACTAGTAGCAGCTTGAGTTCTGAGAAACCACCCTCAGGACAATCTCCTGGCATTGCCTTTGGATCATCGCAAATCACATTTACATATGAAGAGTTACTGATGGCAACAAATGGTTTCTCCAATGCCAATCTCCTTGGTCAAGGAGGATTTGGTTATGTCCATAAAGGAGTCCTTCCAAATGGGAAAGTGGTTGCAATTAAGCAGCTGAAAGCTGGGAGTGGACAAGGGGAGCGTGAATTCCAGGCAGAGATCGAGGTCATTAGTCGCGTCCATCACAGACATCTTGTTTCACTGGTTGGATACTGCATTAGCGGGGCCCAAAGGATGCTTATTTATGAGTTTGTTCCAAACGATACCTTGGAATTTCATCTGCATGGTAACTCTTTTCGTTGGTTATAGTTTTCTGCCTTTCTAAAATCACCAAAATAGAATGAAAGAAAAAGAACAGTTATGCTAGGATCTGGTTTTTATTCTGCATTTCATAGCAAAGATTGGAATCTTATCAAAGAAAATCATTGCAGGAAAGGGGAGGCCAACTATGAATTGGCCAACCAGATTGAAAATTGCCCTAGGCTCTGCAAAAGGATTGGCATATCTCCATGAGGACTGTAAGCCTTCTTTGCACGCTAGTTTTTTGTGTTGCAAACCATAAGCAAATTTTTTGGTTATTGTTATCTGCCTTGGAAGTCACCCACAGTTGAACTATATCTCAGGTCAGCCCAAGATCATACACCGCGACATCAAGGCATCTAATATTCTTCTTGACCATAGCTTTGAGGCAAAGGTAGATTGTAATAGCTTCCCCATTTTGATACGATTCTTTTTAAACTTTCAAATGCATCGAAGTTAAATTGTTCTTCCTGGATAGTTGAGCCTAATTTAAGGTAGAATTGTAATAGCTTCATGGTTCATTACCTAATCTCTTAATTAACCACTAATTCCAAACCGGTAAAATTCGAAGACATGATGAATGATATGATAATAAATAACTACCCTAGATTTGTTTGTTTTGGTCATATCTACTTTCTTTTCTTAAAATGGAGGAAAAAAAATAGAGACAAGGAGATTCACGTTCATGTATGAGGGATAGTATTGTAAGTTCCTCACCAAAATTTTGATCCTTTTCCTGCCTTTTCAATTCTCCATGGCAAACTAAAGGAATGCATTGTAGTTGAATTGACTGGCTATCTGGATAACTTAACTTAAAACATTCGAATCAGCGCTGCTTTGCATTTGAACATGCAAATCCATCTTTAAGTCGGAGTTCTTGAATGGTTTTTTAATTTGTTTTGAAACACTCCTAAAATTAACTCGTATTGTGTAATGTATGTGATTTTTGTTCAGGTTGCTGATTTTGGACTTGCCAAGTTTTCTTTAGATACAGATACTCATGTCTCCACTAGGGTCATGGGAACTTTTGGGTAAGATCAATTTGTCTGTATTAATTTACTCATAGCTTTACTGGTTCCATGAAGTCTATTTCTGGAGTGAAAATAAAACCATCTATTGTTGGGATGTCATGGTTGATTTGCTAATATGGTTCCATTTTTGCTTGTTGTAAATTTACCAAATGCAGTTACTTAGCTCCTGAATATGCATCTAGTGGAAAGCTCACTGAGAAGTCAGATGTCTTCTCATTTGGGGTTGTTCTATTGGAGTTGATAACTGGACGCCAACCAATTGATAAAACTCAATCTTTCACTGATGATAGCATGGTTGAGTGGGTGTGTAGACAATATCATCACTACTAATTTCTAGCAGTTTATCAATTTGTTGTACTTGTTGTAGAGCTGTTCAATTATGGCACCTGAACTTTACCATCATGTTTTTGTGGAGAACAGAACTATAAAGCACACACCTTTGTTTAGATGCAGAGCGTAATCTCTCTCTCTCTCTCTCTCTCTCTCTCTCTCTCTCTCTCTCTCACACACACACACACACCCATGCACAGTTCTGTGGGATATTTCTTTGGTATAGGGCAGTGGACAAGTCTTCTGTGTGACTAACCATTTTTGTTTTCACCTATTGTAATGAAATTTTATTCATTGCAAGACTTGAATGGCATGGGAAAGATGATGGACAATGTTATTGTTATCGAATTTCAGGCAAGGCCTTTGCTCGCACAAGCATTGGAAACAGGCAACTTTGATGCTATTGTTGATGTAAGGTTGCAGAATGACTACAACACTGGTGAAATGGCTTGTATGCTTGCTTGTGCTGCTGCTTGCGTGCGTCATTCTGGCCGACGTCGGCCACGAATGAGCCAGGTAATCTTTACAAAGTTCTGAAATTAGTTTGAGCTGTCAAAATAAGTCTAATAGTCTTGTTTTTAGCAACCAAATTGTTATAATTCAGTTATCTTTATTTGTGTATGGACGGAGAACCCCCTACAGAAGTGCTTTAAGTGGATCCTTATTTTCTTGTTTAGCAAGAGTCCAAAAATGGTTAACTTTATTGCAAAGTGCTTTCCATTTTCCAATTCAATCTGATCCATTCGTTCGAAGAGCTATTTACTTACTACTGTAGTCATGAGGTAATTTTTAAGTACGGCTGAAGAGCAGGTCTGCGCTCCCAGAGAGATGTGGGATTGTTGTGGATAACTTTGTGGAGAAAAAAATTTGTTATCTTATTTAACGACAAAACTTGAGCAATACATGATTACACATATACAACCCTAAATAACATGTGGATTATCTAAAGTACCCCTGAAATATAAAATTTGTACCGTAGTGAACACCTATCTTACTCAGTTCTGTTCAACACTCATAGCTTTTAAGAGAAAAGAGTTCAAGGGACTAGAAGTGACAGTGGTGGTCTAATCGACAGCAGCTGTCACTTGTTGATCTCCAGTGGGAGGTTTGAATCCGAAGTCCCTCGTGTTAGAGGATTGGTTTGGTTTCATTGAGTAAAAGAGTGCACAACCTGCCAACAGACCCAATCTAATCTGTTTCATGTTTGGTAAATCCAAACAGACAGAGAGTTCAAAGTTCGAATCCACCTAGTTGTGTAAGATTGTCTGGGGTCGTTCTTAGTCAGATTTTCCATTTCATTTATCTCTCGTATTACCTTGTATTTGTTCAGATTGTCAATATGTGGCATTTCGTTCTTAATCTTTGATTAAAAGCAGGTAGTTCGAGCTTTGGAAGGAAATCTTTCTCCAGATGAGTTAAATGAGGGAGTTATACCAGAACACAGTACAATATACAGTTTCTACGGAAGCTCAGACTACAACACTAGTGAATACAAGGAAGACTTGCAGAAATTCAGAAAACTAGCATTAGAAAGCCAAGAGCAAGAGCAAGGAACTAGTGGGAACAGTGGGCCTAGCAGTGAGTTTGGTCTGCACCAATCTGCCTCTAGTGGTGAAGGCCAACAAACCTCCCAAGAGATTGAACTCGGGAAAACGAAGAAAAACACCCAAGATTTGAGTGAAGGCTCTTGACAACTGATCCCCCAAAACCTTGGAAAAACCAATTTCTCCTGTTCTACATCCTATATCCTTCTGAATTTTCCGGAATCACACACCATACCGTGTCACGTTTACATGAAAAAACACTTCTGATGATACATTTGGTAGATTGAATGTACTTTTTTCAGCTAGATTACTGATTTTTGTGGGAGTCGCATGCTCAGTCGTTTGAAGAATTCGAGTGTTTCTATACCTCCCAAGAGTTTGATTGAAATGTCCATATGAAGAAATCTTTTTATATATATTGAAGTTAGAAACAATTAGGAGGAATAATTCTGTATGTATTAGGTGGATTTTTCGTTGTTAACATTAACGGTCGCTTAGTGTTCAAATTTTGTTGAATCTGTACATGTGTTACTTGGTTTTTTTTATGTGTATATCAAATAAATTAAAAGTCCGATTTTCATCTCTATCATCGGAGCCCAGGATGCCGTCCAATCAGGGTCTTCTTGTTGTCACCAACTCTTTTCCATTGTACAAAGTACAGATTGTTAAAATAGGATGAATTGTCAAAGAAAAAAAGTAATTTGTGCTTGTCAATAAATAAGAAAAATATTAAGTGGTAGTATTTTATTTTGGGTGAATTGGTTCTATAACAAGGTTTTATAATCAAATCTTTATAAAAATAAAAGTAAAAGTTCTCAACATACTCCCGACGTGGGTTACACTAGTAGGCCAAGATAGTGAGTCTGCCCTTTTACACTCAAGTTTCGAATTCCCTTTCTTTATTTTAAATGAAATTAGAATTATTAGAATTCATGATTTTATACTTTATGATTATCCACTTCATAAAAATTAAATTGATTTGGCGACGTCTCCTATCCATTTATTCTCTCCTCTATATTTTACTTCTCCTATTCTCTTTGTACCAAATAATAAGTAAAGATGTGGAAGTCTTACTAATTCCAAATCAAGAAAACAAAGTTTCCAGAATTGATTCGAGTGACAAAAATGGGATATTCTCTTTTTTTAGAAAGTCCAGACTTCATGTGTAAAACCAACCAAAAAGTATGGGTACTTTTGGTATAGTAGAAAGTCAGAAACAGTGCAATTTTGTCCAGGTTGTCACTATTCGGTTAGCTCTGCTCCCATCCCAACAACACCAATACCAGCTCAAGAATATCCTCTCTCTCCTCTCTCTCTCTCTCTCTGAAATTTTCAAACACCAAATTCAAAGTTCGAAAAATTTCCCTTTGTTTTTCTGGTCGCGCAAGCAAACCCTGATTTGAATTCTCCACGCCTTTGATCCATGGCTTCTCGTAGGCGCATGCTTCTGAAGGTCATTATCCTCGGCGACAGCGGGTAAGCTTCATCAGTTTCTTAATAATTGTTTGTTTATTTGCAAATCGAAGAATTAAAATTCTGAATCTCGTTGCTTGCTTATACAAATTCAAATTCACATTTTTGGTCACATAATCTTTTGGTTAATAGTTCAATTTTGCTTGTAATTAATGACAGGATTTAGACATTTATTTGTTGATGTTAAAAATGTGTTTCTATGCTAATCTATGTTTTGTTTACTTTTTATTTGGCAGGGTGGGGAAGACATCGCTGATGAATCAGTACCGTCCAAAATCTAGATCATGCATTTATTTTTCTTCAAATTCTGGATTTATTTTTTGTCGGTTTGGTAATTCATTATGTATTTATTTTGTTTTCGAATTTTAGGTATGTGAATCGTAAGTTTAGTAATCAGTACAAGGCCACAATTGGAGCCGATTTTCTGACCAAGGAAGTTCAGTTTGAAGATAGGTTGTTCACGTTGCAGGTGAGGGATGTCTGAGCATTCATGTGGTTTTATTATTTGACGAATGTTATTGAATAAAATCCGAAATCCATGTTATGCAATGAATATTTGAACAATCATAATTGGTACCCAGAACTCTGTGGTCTGATTGGTTCGGTGTTGTTAACTCATTGTCACTTAGATTGTGACTTTTTAAATATTCTGCTTTCTTATTGAAAACCCCATTTATTACTTTTGTAATTCTCGTTCAAAAAGTAGTTGCTTTCATTTGGTGTGATTCATTTACTGTACCGAGGGGAGGAGAAATCCCAAGTTGAAAATTTAACTTAATTTTTGCTCTCTCAAGATCAAGAATGTTTTCTTTAGTGGGCAGCTTATGATATTTGTATAGACAGTTGATCATTGTGGGGTTTCAGGGTCACGAGAAAAGTTTCCACTATTTATTTCTATGTCATTGATGCTGAGAGGGAAAGAGTGACTTAAGTTTAGTGATGGCTGTAAAGGTACTAGATGAAAAGAAATTAATTATAATAGAAAAAGAAAGAATGGGAGATGAGATCTATGCTTTAGCAGTTCAAAAACTATTTGTTTCCATAAACAACATATACTGGAAAGAAACTGATTAGCTTCATGTTTGGGATATTATCTACCTACTTCTGTTGTATTGACACCCCTATCTAGAACATGCAGCATGTAGTGCAAAGTGACATGAAGCAAGTATTGATGTGAATGTCATGAAATCATTTGTAAGAGAACATTTGGGATTCATGAACGTGTAAGTTAGAAGGTTTACATCTTTTATTCATTTGTACAGATTTGGGATACTGCTGGGCAAGAGAGGTTTCAAAGTCTTGGTGTGGCTTTCTATCGTGGTGCAGATTGCTGTGTTCTTGTGTACGATGTGAATGTCATGAAATCATTTGAAAATCTTAACAACTGGAGGGAAGAATTTCTGATTCAGGTAATTACCATTAGATTGGCTTCTTAGATAATCACACATATTGAAACATTGACTGTAAGTTACATTTTCTGGATTTGATGTTTAGGCCAGTCCATCAGACCCTGAAAACTTTCCATTTGTTGTGTTGGGGAACAAGATTGATGTTGATGGTGGAAATAGTCGAGTGGTATGTCATCTGGAATATGGAGTTTCTATGTTGTTCTAGGATGTATGTGCAGCTGTTCTTTTCTTATAGTGCGTGCAAATGGTTTTACTCTTTTGGCTGTAGGTTTCTGAAAAGAAAGCAAAGGCCTGGTGTGCTTCCAAGGGAAACATACCATACTTTGAGACCTCTGCAAAAGAGGGCTTTAATGTGGATGATGCCTTCCAGTGTATAGCCAAAAATGCACTGAAGAATGAACCTGAAGAAGAAATGTAAGTATTCTCTAGTCTCTCCTTTCGCCATGGATTTCTTCTTTTCAGTATTGAATTTAGTCCCTCGTCCATTATTTAGTAAATATCTTATATAGCGTGGCCATAATTTGAGATAATTATCTGAATAGGTGAAGACAATTCTATAGTTGATCAATTTAAAGTACTTGGATAAAAACTTATGTAACCCGTCAATTTATTTTTTGTCAAATGATGATGGTAGGCTACAGAATAAGGATGGCAATTATCTTGTTTACTCTTATCCCATGAGTTGATTTGTATACCTACTTTATAATGGAGAAATACCTCTTGGTTATAGTTGCTTTTGATAATGAGTAATTATAGTCAAGTGGTATTCCCTCGCGTTTTTATTAAGGGGTTCTTGCATTCAACCCATGGAGGGATGAGATTTGTGTGGAGAGAGGGTACCTTTTGTTTAACCTACTTTGGCCAACTAATTAATGATAAGAGATAATTTTGTTTCAATGACTTAATAACAAGCATGAATGATGGAGCTCAAACAGTCAACACAAACACAAGCTTGGGAAGCATGTTGGAATGCTATGGTTTTGGATTGAATTATAATCCAATCCAGCTGTACTTGACCAACAAATTCTTTGGTCCATGGTGTCATGGTCAATAGTTCTGATCTTAGCATTGCTATTGGGAAGCTGATTACCATCACATAAGTCAACAGGGATAAACAAATTTTAGGTAGAAGTGCTTATCTTGAAGTAAGGGAGAGAAAGAAGAACAGGAAACTGTTCTTGACAGCTGGGGCCCATGATTTCTATTGTTTTTGGACCACAGTCCTCTCCGATTTAACTTGAAATGGGGTAGAACGGTCTTTAATATTAGCTGCCAGATCAAGATTTATGGTACTGCACATATCATGACAGTGATGCTACTTTCTTGAAAAATTAGTGCAGAATAGTTTGGTTTTGATTGCATAGCTATTATAAATGGACCAGCGACCTGTCCAACCAGAGAGAAGCTTCTGTGGGACCGTTATATGATTTCATCGTACTGACTTAGTGGGTCTAACCACTCAAAGGAAGTCATTTGTTAGAAAGAAGTGAAGTTCTTCATTTGAATGGCTTCCTTTGAATGGTTAGGCTCACCACATCAGCATGATGACGTGGTATGACGGTCCTACACAAGTTTTGCTTGTCCAATAGAACGTGGGCTGTGCAGTCAGAAACAAAAAGTTGCTTATGATTTCATTTCATGTTGGAAAATACGGTAGAACATCAAAGCTGCAAATTAGAAAAATATGGTTGAATATAGTCCTTATGATTTCAGTTCCAGTTCTCTCTCAAACCAGGTTTTAGGTTTAACCTAAAGTTGATACAGTGTAATAAATAGCAATTGCCACAGAGAAACAAATGACTCTTTATATTTAATGAACTTGTTATAAGCTGCCCTTCTCCCATTTTTCTTTTCCTTATCATGTAATTGTTAAATCAGTAGGAATACCCAATTTTTGATGCGGTTACTAATTAAACACTTTTGGCTTTTGTGTGTGGATGATGAAGATACCTTCCTGACACAATTGATGTTGCTGGTGGAGGGAGGCAGCAAAGATCTACTGGCTGTGAATGTTAAAAGAGTTGTTGAATGGGGCTTATTCTGTGGATGGCAGAAAGCAATTATCGTCAACGATATTTGGTGATTAAGACTCAGTAATTTTAAAAGTTGATAATGTAGGCAAGGTTACAAAATTTATATTTGTATTATAAGTGGATGGGAAGAGTCATTTGTTTACTTTGTATTGTTTCTGTTTATATTTGATGGTTGTATTTCCCCTTCCATTTGTTTCTTTTGGAAAGATAATGGTTATTTTCATTTACTATAGCTCCTTCAAACTCAACATAAACTTATTAAGTTACACTTAGAACTGGGTCATTTTTGTGAAGTGCATGCTTAAAATCTCTGAGAGTTTTTATTTTTTGGTCGAAGAATTTCTGAGAGTTGGTTGTGCTGGTACTTGGAGGTAGATATCAGTTTCCAGAAGAACCCACTAAACAGTGATCAGTAATTTCTTTAATCAAGTAGCTTTCAACCTATGAAGGCCCACGAAAAATACTAGGTAGATTTGGATTGAATTTAGACCCATAGGGTGTTTTTAGCGGATATTATTTACATAACTACATACAATAATCTTTGAACCTTGTATGGTGGCTTGGTTTAGACTGATTAGAGCCGAGTTTATCAGTATTCGTACTCTTCTAAATGAGACTTGTAAAACACAATATATCCGATTTTTGTCAAATTTAATAAGTCTAATACCGACCTTTACCTGGTTTTTTGAAAATTATTTTATTTCTACTATTTGTAGCTCAGCATCGGCATTTTCTTTTTCTTCTATGCATTTTTTCCCCCAAAAAAAAAAAAAAAAAAAGTAGCTATTAACACGTAGCTACACTAATATTCAGAGCATGACACGTGTACCGCTAATAGCATATATCCATGCGAAAAAGGGCAAAGCGCATCATTTTTCAAGCAACCAGATAGACCCGGTATTTTTCTACATCGATCGCTGCACTTCCTCTTCTTCTTCTTCGATTACCCCTCAAATCTCAACAATGGAGGCCACCAAGGAACAAGGAGCTGGCTTACTGCACCACATCCTCCCTCCGCGTCTCGAAGACGCAGGCCTCGAAGACTGCGCGCTCCCACCGGACTCCATCAAAGAAGCCTTCCTCAAAGCCGCCACGGCGGTGAAGTCACGATCCACCTCGATCTTCACCACCGACGAAGACGAAGAAGCCTTTGAGGATTGCATCAGCGACCCATGGCCTGACCTAAAGGTTCCCGCCGACGAGGTGATCGGAGCTGGGCCTGAGACTCGGTCTCCGGGACCGTGCGGCGGCGATAAGGGTGGGTCGGTGGAGGGCGGTGGAGATGAAGTGGTGGTGAGCGGTGAGGAGGAGAAAGGGGATAAGGTGATTGTGGGAGGTGAAGATGTGAGAGAGGATGGTGATAGGGCTTGTGTGGATGGGTTGGCTGGGTTGGAAATTGGAGGGAAGAAGAACAGCAAGGTGAGGAATGGTGATGGTGAAGGACCAATTTTGGTTGGAGGTTATGTTTGAAACCCTAATTACTAGTTTTGTTTTGATTTTTTTTTTGGGGGATTGTGTTAACTTCATGTTGTTTGTGGTTGTATTGTACAGTGTAATGAACTTTGACAGATTGACAATGTGAAGATGAGGTAAAATACATAAGATTTGTTGCAAGTAATTTTAAGAAGGTTTACATTTTATGCATCCACCACCATAACATGTTGCCTGCCTCCGCATGAATTGATGCATTCCCAACTATAATAAGAAAAAATTTAGTGTTAGTGAACAACTATTTTCTAATTTCATAACAAAAAGATGATAATTTGTGCAGAAAAAAAAACTTGCATTACAATTTTTTTGATTAATTGAATTGAATGTGATCTACGGTCTACCATGGTGTCCCATTAGTGGGTAGCGGCGGTGGATGGTGGCCGGTAGTAGATATACGAATGGAGATGGAGTGATTGATTTTGATGAGTTTGTGAAACATATGGAGAACAGCTTTTGCATCCAATTTTTTCATGTTTATATTTGAAACAGGCTGAAGCTACTCATTAAAAATTCACAACCACAGTTCATAACCTTAGCTCTGAATTACAATTGACAACCAGCCCCTCTGTCTATTTTCTTGTTGCTGTGGGGAAGATAGTTTCCCTATTATTGAAGGATTTTTTTTCAGTTCTATATATAATTAAAGAGTTCACTTCTCATCATCAATTACTATGAAAGCATTCTTCTCTGCATAACATAACATCACATTCCATCCATACTTTGTTCGTATTATGTTCTCTGGTTTTGCCTTTTCCTTGTGTTTCAAAATTAAAGTTTGATAAGAACAATTCATCTTTCCGGTGCTCACCTTTTTGATTCTGGATAAGTTATTAGAACCCATTGACCATGTTTGTTTTGCTGCTGTTTGCAAGCATTGTCGTTCTATGTCCAAACTCTATTATCATGTGGCGCAATAAACAACTTCCCCCATGCTCTTGATCCCAAAGCAGGACGACAACTACCGAAGGGTAGGGTAGTGTACAACATTTCTGAAGGAAGAATCTACAACAATATTCGACTGCAAGTGCCTTTTAGCAGGAGGTGTTGCCATGGTTGGTTTGCCACAGTAGATGTTGAGCAAACACTTCCCGTGGTGGTACTCGGGAACACTTTCACAAAAGCAAAGCCCATCTTTCTCCCTCCCTTGAAAACCATTATCTCACACAATGACCCCCCCTACCATGAGCATTACGTTCGTAAGGTTGTCTTGTCTACTGATCCCATTCTGAATCCGGAGAATTATGTGGTTGTAGCACTTTACGGTCGCAGTTTCATGTTGGCTTTCATCAAGGCAGGCCAAAACAATTGGACTTACCCCATCCCAACTAGTGAATTTGATGATGTTATATTCTATAAAAGCAAAGTGTATGCAATTGAATATTTTGTAAGTATATGCGAACCCAGAAGAAAAGTTACTCATTTGACTTGTAATGAGATTAAATATTTTGCCTAGTGCTTCAACACGAATTTCATTATCAACTAGTTCACGCTCAATTGAGATTTGTCGAGTCCAATCCAACTCACCAAACATGACCTTGATGTTTTTACATCTGTGAGCAACTCGGGGCTCTATCAACGATGATAGATCTTCCCCTGGTTTTCCCACTTGGCCACTCTCTTACCGTGAGATCTTCAGTCAGGCAAACTCACCACGCCATAAAAGCAGCTCTATTGTGTTAGTTTAACTTCCTGTTTGAAACAAATGCATGTATGAATGATTCTCATGATGGGTCTCTACAGACGATGGTAGTGAACTGATGTCGCCGGAGATGAGTACAGGTATAACATGAGTGATGTAGGATATTGGTGAATTGTAAGATTTAAGTAAATTAGCGAAAACGAAAACAATGAAAAACAAAAAATAGAAGAATAAAAATGCCTTGGCTTCACACCAAGAATTCTCAAAGTCTTTCTTGTTTTAAATTCAATTCAGTGTCATTTATCAATGTATTAAAGCCATCACATTTCCTTTGAGATGAGTCATATGAGTGAATCAAAAGCAAAAGGTAGAGAGGGTCCTGCCTGTTGCATGCGAGTAGCCGGAGTACCTATTTACAAACACGAGCGCTAGATTAATATAAAGCGATTCGAACAAGAACTTTAAATAAAATCCTAGTTTCCCGGGTTTCAAGTATAAGCACGAGGAATGAGACCTCCTAAGGTTTAGTCACGTGCTTCGAATGTTGGAATAGCTTCGGAAGACACTCGGTCAACCGGACGGTTGTTGTTTACCGCAAACTTTAAGTTATTGAATCAGAACATCTAGGGCTCTAATTCACGATTCGCGAATTCCTATACGATCCTAGAGATGCCTAGATCAACATATATTGAAATGAAGTCGATCCAACGGTCCGAACATATTGAACCCAGATAACGCCTAAAATGCGATATCCTATCGACGATCTAATGATAACCAAATTCAAATCCAAGCATACCGTCGTGCTCGGGACGACATGAGGATCATTTTAGAACCAAGAGAGACACCTAAACAGTGCCCATGCGCCGTCACACGCGTCGGCAACGAGTGGGTGTCCAAAGCGATTCAGGCGATCAGAAAATCTCCAAACCGCCGGTCAAGACTTATACCTACATGATCAGGACATTGAGGGCTCGTTTGGTACAGGGGATTGTCATGGACTGGATTAAATTCTTGGATTGGCTTGGATTAGCTTGGCATGGCCTAAACTAATAACACTTATACTATGTTTGGTATATGTTTGATTGGACTAGGACTAAATTATTTTAAAATATTTTTCTTGAAAAGTAAGTTTTTAAAAATATTTTTTAAAACTTTTCTTATCTCTGTCGAGATCTCCCTCAGTCCCCTTCCTCTTCTTGGACCTCCAACAACCCCACCCTCCGCAACAAATCTCAAAGCGAGTTGGCGATGACGAGTCAAAATCTTTGGTTTGATTGGCGCCATGAGATCTCTGCGTTGCTCAGAGGAGAGAATCGTGTGGAGGTCATCTGCTGGGTTTCTTCAATTTAATTATTTTTGTTTGACTGGGTTTCGATAATTGAAAAGGAGAAATTGAGTTTGATGAGTAGAAGAAATACAATAACTTTTTTTTTGGGGGTTTGGTTAATTGAAAGAGAAGGAAAGTTGTCTGGCTAAGGATTGATTCAATTAATGGGCTTGGGTTAGTGGCTGTTGGAGAGAGGGAAGGGATGAAGTGGGCGGGGTCAGTGGCTGTTGAATGGAGAAGATGAGAGAAAGGCAAAGCCACTCCAGACCCAGCTTTCTCATACTGCTCGAAAGCTACGAGGGAAGGAGGGGTATCTGCGTTTGTTTGGGATGAGGGAGGAACAATTTTTCTTTATTTTATGAGGTTGCTGCGATGGTGGATTGAGGTTGTTGTGATGGTGGGGGGTTTGGATCGGTTGCAGGCGCTTGGGTACTCGGTGGTTGTGGATGGCGCTTGGATGGTCAGTGGTTGCAAGCGCTTGGGTCGGGACTATGTTGTCCCCCCATTCCACACGGGACTCACTAAGAACACCTAAGAAGGTGTTTTTGGTGGGGCCAGTATTAACAGTCCCACTTAAAGCTAGAACTAAGTGTAAACAAACATGGGATAAAAATTTGTCTAGTCCAATCCAAGCCAAGAAGGTGTAACAAACGAGCCCTGAGTGGAGCTACTTTTGTTCTTGGACCAATCCCAAAAAGTGGTCGGAGGTGGCCGGAATCAAGGGTCGAAATCGGCCAAAACTTCTATCCCTTAATTGACACTCAAAACGCAGAAATTGATCCTAAACAACCCAACCAACAGCTAGAATATATCGATAGGATAAAAAGCATACATGGATCGCAAGATTTGCTAGTTGGAAACGTCCGAAATGAACGATGGAAAAATGGGTTGAAAATCAGCCGAATTTTTGCAGATTCCGGCAGCAGTGCTGGTTGTTGGCGGCGGAGACTGGGTGGGATGGAGAGAGGAGGAGGTGGCGGTCCTTTTGGGACATGTGCCGGCGCAAGTGGCGGCAACGAAGGAAAACCGTTGCTGCTGTTATTGTTCACGGGGGGGTCGCACGGGAGGGAGAGAGAGAGAGAGAGAGATGAGGGATTTCAGATTTTTTATTAAACCATTTTTGAAATATTTACGATTTTGCCACTATGTTTGTTGTGATCGTAACTTCTTCGTTACAACTCCGATTCGAGTCCACTACATGTCTATGGACTCATCTCGGTACGACCTATGTAATAGTACCATTCATTTCCCCAAGATCCTTCCGGATTAAAAAGTGACCAAATTACCCCTATCCCTCGAGGCAAAATTGTGATTTCAATATTAACTAATTTAATTAAATTAATGAATGATCATATTTTGGGTCGGGATGTTACAGTCTGCCACTTTCCCTTTGTCCCTATGTCAAGCAATCATTCAATCTCTATTTTGGCTTCAAAGTTTCCTGGATGTCAGTCAAATTCCATATATTACACCGATGATTACTTGTCAAATTATCCATCGTTAGACGATGATGAACCATATGATATAGGTATCTTCAACTTGGAGGACGGAACCATCACACAACATTACTTTCTACACTCCAATTCTCAGAGAGTGATTTGGGTTGTGCCATCATTTAATGGACTATGTTAACTAATTCATAAGTAATTACCATGTTTTTGGAGTTTTTCTTTTATTTATGTGTTGTACTCTTATAATGCTTCGCTTTATGTGCAACAAGGGTAAATCACATTGCTAAGTTTGTGTTTGGTTGTATAAATTGTATGGGAAGGATAATGGAATTGTGGAATATACAGACAGATTGTATTATGTGGTTAGGATGAACATTTTGGTGGTGTTGGCAGGTTTTTGTATTAGATAGGATCTTATATTCATGGAGATTCTAATTCATCAACGATTTGATGAAATAATGCAAAAACTTCTTCCAAGGACTAGTAGCTTAAGTGGTTAAAGGTGTATTTACCTTACACTCTAGATCTTAGGTTTGATTCTCTCCTCCTGCAATATCACTTGTATCAAAATAATGCAAAAACATCTCTCCCTAACATTATCATCATGGGCAACATGTTATGGTGGATGCATAAAATGTTTAATTTTTTTTTCGTAAAGAGATATGTCAATCCTTTGTTTCTGTACCTCGTTCTGACAGTTGCTTAATTTTGCCGGAACCCATGATAAATTATCATCATGGGCAACATGTTAAATAATTTGATTCAATCACATGTTGATGATAGTGCTATTTTTTTATTTATAAATTTATGGAGATCGGCCATAGTTTGATCCAAAAGTCAAGTTTCCTTACTCACAACTTGATGGACCAATGCAGTTCATGGATCTATTTGCTTTATTAATTGGTTGGTTATGTTGAGAAATAACCATCATATCCAAATATTATTATTATTATTATTTAAAATTTAATACAAGTAATAATTTATTTTAAATTTATTTAATTTACAAATAGGAGAACTCGAACTTGAGTGCGAAGAGATGTTGTTATTGTCCTTGCAACGTTTGCGCATCATATCCATCTATGTTGGCTTTCCATAAAGAAAAGAAAAAGAAAAAGAAAAAGAAAAAGGCAAGTGTTGGTCAACATCTTGCCAAAATCATACGTATATCTAAAAACCGTTGACGTCAATCTATATCTCTTGAGTCATGTATTAGCGAAACACTTTTGGACTTTTTAAACAAAGACATAATTTACTCCAATGGATGATATATTCAGGAGGAAAGCATGCCCCATAAAGCACAAAATGTCTGCCATATATGAAAAGCTATTTTAGATTATAGAGGATAAAATCCAAGGAATGATTTGCTAAACATTTCCCAGTGGACCAAAGCTATTTTATTTCTGAGTTTTTTCTATTTAAATTCCGCACTTCTTTTTGTGTATCCTATATTCTAAATTTATCAACTTTTAATTTAAATTTTTACAATTTCTAAGAAAATCTCAATATCTTCCCAAACTACCCCAAAATACACACCCAACAGAAAAAATAATAAATTAAAAACTCATCAATCTCACACCTCTCTATCTTGCCCCTCACCACTGTAAGTTCCTCTCAACCTCACATTACTTAAAGAGATAAAAACAATGTTGTCAAATGTGTAGCAACATTATTATAATTATTATTATTTATTTATTATTATTTAGGTTTTGTGAAGAGAAGATGAGAGTGTAATAGGTTTCTTGAATTAAAAAAGAAGAGTAATCTGGTAATATGGTGTAGGGGAGTTTGTGTTTTCCTAAAACTTAATATGAAGAGTGGTGAGGCGAGGT